CGTCTTTAAGATGTTGTTGAGAAAACTAAATATAAAAAGCATTTTGAAAATGTTTATTTTATTATAAATAATATAAAACAACATATTTAATAACTTTAAGCAATTGAAATCATTTAGTATGGTATATTAAATACTTCTTTACTGGTATTCATGATTATCTTGCACAAGATTCAAAAGAGATTCAAAAAGAGTTATTATTTAATGAGATTGTTTTTCAAAAAAATATTAACATTTGTTTAATTCTTAATCTTTTTTATCTATTTTAATAACGAAATAATGTATAAGTCCACTAAGCATTTTTTACTATTTTGAGGAAATAAGTCTTAAAAAAGTACGCTCAGGAAATATTTTACAACTATTAAAACGATTTTTTTAAAAGATTCTTGTCCTTTTCAAAATAAACAATATAAAATATGTTACAACATATGCCTCCAGAGATACTATATAAAGAAATAAAAAACAAAAAAAATAAATAAGAAAGGGATCTTTAAAATATACCCTATATTATTATTTAAAAAATATTAAAAAAACAAAAAGTGCTTTCTCTTAGCTTTCATTAAATAAAGTCTATTTGTGTTTTTTATAATTTGTAATAAAATTGAATTATTTAAGATGTAATATGAATAAATATCAACAGCAGTAAGTTGTTTTATTAATGATTTGTTAATGTGTGTATTATTGTGGTAAAAGAAGGGAAAGAAAGAAGTGAAGAAAGAAGTGTAAGGTACCTCAGTCATGGTGGGTCGCCAAGTCGAAGAAGCTCGAATGCAGAGAGATGCAGCAAAGGAAAATCTTTTTAACTGTGTAACATCATAAGCCCCTTCAAGCCTTGGATCTACCAACTCTTCAATCCCACCCTTGTTCAAAATTGGTTTGGCCTATTTGTTCAAAATGCATGTTTACCGATAATAGCGTTAATTAATAGTGACTTAACCACCATCAGACCAAACAAACCAAAAGGCATTTCTCTTGTAACACGCCAAGTTCATAACCACAGAACAAAGTCACAAAGGAAAAAAGAGGGATTACTTACCCAGCTGTGTAAGCTTTGGTGTGACCCATCCACTGGTTTTCTGCCAGAGATTACTTCCAGCAAGAACACACCAAAGGCAAACACATCTGTCTTCTCATCCACAACTCCATGCAAGTAGTACTCTGGGGCCAAATGTCTGCAAAAGGTTCAAAAAATATCCATTTTCAAACCATTCATGTATTTTATTTAAAATATACTATCCATCATGTTTATCATTGAAGGGTCCATGGAAAGATGAGTACCCAAATGTCCCTTCTATTGGGGCAATGGAATGATGAGTCCACTGAGATGGAAGCCATTTTGCTAGTCCAAAATCAGATATCTGCCACGGTCATAAAACATCATCAATACTTTCGGTAAAAATAAACCCATAAAACAACTTTGTTTGAAATATTGATTCAACTAAAATGGAAAAAGTGACTATAATACAGATTAAAAAAGGACCTGTGGCTCAAAATCCTTTGTTAACAAAATGTTTGATGCCTTAATGTCCCGGTGGATTATCCTCCTTTTGCAGCCCTTATGCAAGTAGTGGAGGCCGCGAGCAGTTCCAATGGCTATCTTGTGCCTCGTTTTCCAATCTAAAGGGGGCAACTTTTCATCTACAAAGAAAACCCATCCACCGGTAAAAACCCTTATTTATATTTCGTTAAACCCAGAATGCATTCAATTTTTTGCTGCCAAAATTTCAATCTTTATAAGAAAACAAAATATTTGTTTATGGCTGATGTTGGTTTAGGAATTACCGTGAAGAAGGGATGCAACAGAACCTCTAGAAGATAACTCAAAAACAAGGTAAAGGCCATTGTCAATACAACACCCCAGAAGAGGCAACACATTGGAATGGTTCACATGACCAATTGTACCAATCTCTGTCAAAAACTCTTTCTCCTTTCTCTCGTCCCTCGAAGTTCTTGTGAGTCTCTTCACAGCAATTTCTTCTCCCCCATTCATTGTCCCCTTGTACACTTCCGCATACCCTCCCTTTCCAACCAAATTTTCTGCCACAAGAATAAAAAAAAAAACTTTAACAAAGCAAAAAAAAAAAAAAGGTACTTAATTTTTCAAACCAAACCTGAATTACCTGAGCTGAAGCCATTTGTGGCATCAAACAAGTCATCATAAGAGAAGCACTTCCAAGAGGGTCTTCCAGAAGGCTCTTCTTTAGACGGAAGAGTCTCGTGACTTTCTCCACCATTAGGACTCAGAACTTGCTCCCTTGAACTACGTCTTCCAAAGGAGAAGAACCTCTTGAAGCTGTTGCTCCGAATATACCTCATTGCAAAAAACAATCCAACAGGGTACTCTGTTTCATGCAGAGCAGAGCAATTGAAAAAAGAGAACAAGAGAAGCAACTCCACGTTTGGGTCTCACATACATAGAGAGACCACAAGCGCTCTCCTAGGTTTTGTTTTCTTCGGAAAAGTTGTGTTGTGAAGAAGTGCCTTGTACTAGGGAGGGACCATTAGAGAAGCTGAAATGCTTTTTCTCCAATACCATCCATGCTATGCTGTGATAACTTTTGTAGATACAAATGGCAAGAAAACTTAAACTGTGGAGAGAAGAGTAGGAAGAAAGAAAAATATGGATTGAATAAAGAGGTTGCGATTTTGGTTCTTATAGGATAGCCTCACCCCTATTATCTTTCCTCTCTGCTTAATTTGCTTTGAATCTTGTTAATTCACCTAATTAATTGCCACCAGTAGTGACCCGTGCTTTTCACAAATGTAATAGTAACATAAGTTTATCAAATATCTCTGTCATTCTTAATCCCATCTAGAAGTTAGACATGCGTGTTCCATGACTATTTCTTCCATTGCTGATGTAATGAAAGTGAATTTCTTAAATAATTTCTCCAACTCAAGTTAAGAACTAGTTAAGGATAACATAATTAAAGAACAAAAAAATGTATCTGTGCATATAATAGAATTTCGCCTTTATATTTTTCTTGTGATTTATTTTCCTTATACATTCATGTTTTTATATTAAAAAAGGAAAATTTGGAGGGAACCCTCATTCCATGTGTCAGCTCTGAGTGTGCTACTATTGGTGCTACAGTAGATGGCCATATCCAACTAAGGCATTTGGTTCAGGTAAACTACTCTGCATTTATGATGGAAAACGAGTTCTAATGAAAAAGTAGTTTTTATTATGTCAAATTATTTTCAGACCACGTTTATGTTAAAAGCTATATTTATTGTGTCACCGCTCCATAACTCCATTTTCTGAAATGTGAACCCTACAATGAGATTAGTCCAAACGGGATTAAAATTAATTGTCATTTAAAACGTAAAATTCACTTTATAAACTCAAAAAGGATTGATGTCTGTGCCATCAGGAATGAAATCTTAAGTTTTTCTGTGTTATTGCTCTATTATGCCTTCTAAATATACTCATAGTCATTAATTTTGAAATTTTAAAACATATTAAAAGAACTTTTAAAATATCAGTATAATGTATTTTTAATGTTCAGTATTACAGCACAAAAAAAACTAGTAGAAAATATTGACTTCATTATACATACTTTTGAAATTTGAAAATTTCTTTCATTACAGAAAGGTGAGTTGAATGCTGAGTAGAAATTTTGTTTTTTACAAGAACATTAAGAACCGTTCTTAATGGTGCAGTAAGCATAAAAGTAGAATCTATCCAAGGTGAATCAGAAATCAAAGTAAAACTTTTTTTAATAAATTCTTTAAATTTATATCACATTGAAGAATCACAAAAGGTAGGTTATCCTATAATGAATTCCACCGGAGGAGTTAGTTCACTACTGTTTGGATTTGGATGTTTTTAGCTCTTTTAAAAACTGGAAAATTGATGTGATAAATGTAACGGTTCCATGTGCCACGGCCCAATTAATTTTTAGGTGGGTCTTTAAGAGCATGTGACAAATTAATTAAATCCAAAAACTAAACTAATGCTACATGAAGAAACTGTACATCTTGTTTTGGGATGAAGAACTCGTACCCTCTGGTGTATATATTAAACCGTCTTCACAAAGAAACATAAATAAACCAGAAAATCTGAAGTGGTTGAATGTATTAAACAGTGGATGATAACACCTAATCCTTTAGATGTGAAGCAGTTTAAATCAAAGATCCTTTTTTTCCTTCTTAAACTCAGCAGTGTTACAGAATAATCAAAGTAATCGACACTACCACCAAACTAAAAGTTTACATGATCATCATTAGCTAATAACAGCACTGGATATAGTACGTTCTTGGCAATGCATGTGCTCCTTTCAAGTAACAAAGAACATGTCATTTGTTTATCATTAACCAAATTATCTAATCTATACCCTCTTGATGTTGATGATGTCTTATATATACAACAGGCAACATCACTAAATCATTTGAACTTCCCGTGATTTTACTTTAATACTATTATAAGACAAATGGATGTGCATTGATATTTTTTTTTTCTGTTCAGGGTTTAGGCACTAATATATATGGTGATGCGATTTATTTTCATTATATTTTTTTTCTAGTTATGCCAGGACATGTAAAGATTCGTCGTGATCTCATTTGCAGAGAAGGTCGAGCATAGAGACAAGCGAAGCAACTTCAAGAAGACACACTAACATCTAAAAATGTCAAGAGTTTTCACATAAATATTAATATTAGTCACTAAGCACTGATACTGATACATCTCTTATTTCTTGAAACTTTGGTCAACCTTAAGTTAATTAAGGTTATAATGTTATTTCTCTAAGTCGTTTTCAAGGCACCAAAAAAACTATCCTAGATTATGAAAGGTTACTTTGTGAACACGGTTTTCTTAAATTTGAAGTTGATGTGGCTGAAATAAAACTGTAACATATGGTTTTCTGAAATAGACAATTGTAGTTCTGCATTTTCTCTCATTACGATTTCAATCTTTATAACTTTTTTTGTGTATTTTTTTTTTGAACAAGCTAGAGAGAATTGTCATGTTAAACTATGAGTGATATTTAATTTGAAATTAATTCAATCACGAGGCTTTGACATATCTACTATCAGAAATACATTATTATATATGTGCATGACAGGACCACTATGGTGAATATATAAATGGTGATACTTTTGGGTTTTCTTTTACCATGATGTTGGGAGTTGGAAAGCGACAAAGTCCTTTTCTGGCCAACTACATATATGTAAAATGATTGTGGTCACCCTTTGGCCATTAAAGTTTCTTACTAGATGCACACGAACAATCTCCAATGAAAAATTTCAAACAGAAACAAACAAGGCACTATATGAATCTCTTTTCTATTCACGAGCTTCACATACTTTCCCTCACTAGGTACTTCTGCATAGGTCTATTTTAGTCCCAAAAAACAAAAATTTGCAGAGACCCCAAAATTGAAAATGATAAAAAATCCGTATCACACACTATCTTTAAATAAGATAACTTCAAATGTGAAGAATAGAACAAAACTAGGATGACATCAATGCACAATATATTACACTTTAGGGGGCGTAAAAGTGTGAATTTTGTCTTTCATTTGTTTGTTTCCATTTATAAGATGGCCTTTGTAACGTGGTGAAAATATGATTGGCTGAAGACAAGGAGTGATACAAAATAATGAATTTTGAATAAAATAATTTGGTGGTGATAAAAAGCGTTGGATGAATAAATATGGCTCACCAGCTTTACACTTTGGTGTTGTACCCGATATTCGGGCTTCTTGCGTTCATCAAAATAACCCAACAAATATCAGAAACTCCCTTACGCGTGCAAGAAATGTTTGTGACCACCATTTAATCAATTCGATGCACAATTCTGCATGCTCTGCCAGTATGCACACTTTTCTGAACAGAGAGCCTTCTTTATTTGAATAATGTCAACTTTAATTTATAATGAAATTGTTATCTCACAGGGTGAAACTACATATGAAACGTAAATGTAGTATTTTTAACATGAAATTCTAAGAAGGTGGATACAAACTAACATGTTTAATTTCTCTGAAGGTATCACTTAGTTGTTCAAGTCCAACTAAGTGATTTGATTGAGGATTCAGGTGGGATGAATGGTAGAGTGAGAACAAGCAATCCAACTTTCATAATAGACGTGATATAATGTAATAAATGAGAAATAAAAGTGAGGCATTTAATGTTTCTCTAAAACTACTTTTACAAACATTTATTTTAAAATCATGTTACTGATGTTTTCGAATGATGCTGGATTAATATAATTTTAAAAAATTAAGAAACTTTTGTTTGTTATTTTTTAAGTCTCTTTCCATCCCTGCCAACCAGTTTTGTTTTTTCATTTTCCACTTCTCTTTTGTTGGTCAAACTGGCAGGCCAGAGAGTATCTAAATTCGTAACTGAATACAGTTTTATGGAGTGAGGAATGACACAATATTGTATTGTCACTGCATGCTCAAACTGTACTGTTGGATATCAGAGTTAAGTACACTCAAACAAACATCTATCCTTCGTGCATCGTTAGGTTACTTTGGCCTAACTCGCTTCACCAAAATTTGCTACAAAACTATCAATCATGATTGTCTTGTTTATTTTAAAATAAAATTCAATAATTATTTTATTTCTTATATATAATAATATGAATTCCAGGCTCTCCATTTTTGTTAAAGATCTTGTGGATTAAAATCAATCAAATTTATATTATATAAATAATCAAAGACATCAATTAATTTAAGGTTGAATCAAATTTAAATTTTATTATATTAGTACAGTATTAGAGTTATGGATAGTTTTTTCTAATTGATGTTTGAAACCATTGTACCTTTCTCAATTCCTGTATTTATTGTCATATACTTGGAACAAGAGGCAAAGATGTTGGATATTCAGTTTTAATGGATATACACGGATTTAATTGGATAATATAGAAAATGAGTTCTTAATGTGATTAATTGAGTTAATAATCTCACAGATCTCTTTCTAGCTTATGATGACATATGCTTTAATTATATCAGACAGTACATGTGTATTAGATACCATAATATAACTCTCATCATTTTTTCTAATAAATATTTTATTATTATTTAAGTCTAATAATATAAATATATTTCATCTCTCCTTTGATATATGTTATAATATAGTATTTATTTGGACAATATCTTTAAAGCTTAAATTAAGTTTTTTAATTAGATTGACGAGAATAAAACGCATTTTTAACGTGTAACATAGTTCTTCTTTATAGAACCTTCTATTATATTTTATATTATAAAAAACAATACTAGTATTGACTTTACACGTTTCAAAATCGTATAATTATTGCTAAAGGGTAACATTCACTACAAGACATATTAAATACTCTTACTAATATGTGTTCTAAAATTTAAAGGGTTCTAAAATTTGAAATTATTAATATAAATAAAAGTTTAAATGGTGTGTAAAATTCAAATAAAACTCTAATTCACAAATTGTTTATAATTCAAAATTTTAGACATATTTTACTAAAACTAATGTGAAATATCCACATGGAGATTCAAGTTACACTACTAAGCCAACTAATTTGACTATGATAGATTATTTGAATAATTTTAATGTTATGTTAAAATATTAAAATTTAAATTTAATTCAATCTTATAAAATTAACTCGATAAAATATAATTATTTATAGTTGAATTTAACCAATCATGGAAGGCTAATTCTCAACTATAAAAATCATGCACAAATAACATGTTTTAGTCAATACAATAGAAAATTAATTTGTAGAATAAAAATTTTCACATAAA